ATTTAAACTAAATATTAATTATAGCAATAGCCATATTGTTCAAGACGAGAGAAAGGAAATTTCGTGTGAATCACCACTTGCATGGAGACGCCTAGATGCAGCTTGGATGCAGTTTTGCCTGTAGTTGAAAATCTCCAGAAATATTGGTATATCTTAGAAAACATAGACGGGATCTTCATAGATTTTAGCTGATTCGTGCCAAACTTCGCTCTACACATAAATAATATCGATTGAGAAGTCTTTTGGCTATTTATTTGTTTCGAAGACTTGTATATTTCATTAAAGAATATCTCGCCACTCCTTGACGAGTGGCTGTCAAATACTGCCATTTTTTGACGTCACGTGACCGGCCCGGACCAGGGCTTCCTCGTGTCTCGCCTCGTCCTCACACTGAAGCCCTGGGAACGAGGTTGTATTGCACTTTATTTGGTTGAACTTGAATTCTGGATTTGATGGGTAATTATGTTTATGCCAACATGAGCTCCACCTTTGAATTTACTATACGAGTAAATTCTTAAACACGCCCGAATTTATGCACTGTTTAAACGAGCAGGAGTATTTAGACCTAATAAAACACGACCTGTGAGTGTATTAAACGGCTTCAACCACGACTACGGACTCATATTCCATAGATATACTACCTTATTTGTATTCTTTATATAAAGAATACTAATGAGGACACGACTACAATAGATACTGCTTTACTAATTCGGAGTGTTTTATTAGGTTACATGATTTGCCAATAAGCTCATGAATTATTAATGAGTGTTTGAAGCAAATATAATAAACATTTACACCATGCAAATGTTCATGGATTTGTTGGCCTTCTTTGACATTTCATGGGATGATAATTAATCAATATTTGAATGGCAGTTTCTATAAATTACTTTACACCTTATGACCAACAATAATTCCCCAAAACAGCAAACTTGATATGGAACAATTTTACTGTGAGTTTTTAAGCAGACTGGCTTTAATTAATCCTTTCCTTATATGTGTCTGAGAGCCAACCTGAATAAATCGTGATGGTTGCACGTTCACTTAATCTTTTGCTTGTTCTTCTATAGGCCATTAGCCTTAACCAACTCAAAAAATATACACAGAGAACACCTACCTTACTGCTTTTCTCTGCCAAATAAACAATTTAAACTTTTAATTCTTGTCTTGACGACTACCAAAAATAAAGAAAATCGAACCATGGGAATTCTGATATTTCATTTTAAACATTGTAAACATATTTAGATTTGAGCCAACACGTACGTCGCGGGCAGTCGACCAATTTCAAGCATCAAAATAACATTAGAAAATAAGAAAGAGCAACATCACCTAACACAAACGAAGGGAAACAACAAGAACGCAAACATATAACAAACACGTTGATGACAAATGGCTATCCTAAGAAACTCCTACAACAAGTAGAATAGAAACATAATATGCAACAAAACCAAACTCCTTCACCCGAATATCTTGTATATACGTTTATTTTTTTATTCTGTGGAAACGAAGACCAACTACAATAATTGTGCCGTCTTCCCATACATCAAAGGACTAACAGAGCCAATGAAACGAATTCTAAAACCTTATGACATTCGAGTAACCACGAAACCTCTCCGCACACTAGAGCAAATATTCCCTTCGGCTAAAGACCGACCATCACCAGAAGATCAGACGAACGTATACTTTATCAAATTAACTGTTCTGATTGCTCATGGAGCTACATTGTAGAGACAGGCAGAACCTTCAAAACTAGGAGAAGTAAACACGAAAGAAACGTGGAGAAATATATAAGTGGCTCAAACATCGCGAACCATGCGTGGAAAAACGATCATAGAATTGACTTTGTAAACGGAAAAATATTGACAAAGGCAACTATCGACACAGATCGACACTAGAATCTTGGCACACTGCACGCATCGAAAACTCGGACAATAATTCAAAACATTTGCCGAAACAATACCGTTTTCTGCTCAAAAAAACGCTAAAACCTTAAATTATTTACAATGTGAATAGTCATTAGTCTTATAAGTAGGCGGAACTGTCAATAATTGCATGTTTTGTCAGTATATATTGTAATTGTATATCACTGTAAATATCACATCATTCACTTTAATCTACCCGTGGAAGACTGCAGTCTGGCAGGCGAAAGCTCGTCCAAATAAATATTTTTAACCAGTGAACGTTTGAAACTCTTAATTGAAAATAACGTTTACCTCAGAGATTTTTGCAGATATCACCAGATATTTAGCAATAGTACTACTTCACTTGAAATTTTGCAAGAAAATTTTGACATTAATATATTTTTTCGATTTATTTTCCGTCGAATGAAAATTTTTCTGTCCAAACTCTGCGGGCAACACGATGGAAAATAGAGCGATCTCATTGGTCGATAGCTCACGTGACAACTCGCTAATTGCTTGCCGTACCTTCTCTGAACACTTGCCAATCATATTGCATGACTGTGTCCAAAAATAACATGTGGGAGTCCCACGGTCTAGACAGGTTTTGTGTCAGGCACTATTTGATATTAGGACCTGAATTTCAGGTTACTGTAGTCCTAACCGGGAGCAGCTACAAAACAGAAGTAAGCCTGCGATTCCGCGACACAGTGCTCTAACCAACTGAGTTACACCCAATTATCGAGCTCTAAGCCTCTAGGCCGTAACTAATGTGTATTCACTAAAGTACCGATGCCATGGTATACCGAACTTCTCTTGTTAAATTGTAAACAGGTATATAACCACAGAAATCACAAAGACAAATTACATTTATTTGTATAAAAATACTGAGAATTCTCACGCTCACAAATCACTTGTTTTGTTTTGTCTCGTCTCACATAATCTAATAATAAACGACCCCCCCCCCCCATCAACATGCTCTTAATGTTTCTTTTATGCAAACGTCAATCATGCTTACGTCACTTATAGGGGGGTCCACTATTCCGTACACACTCCCCTAAAAATTAAAGTTTAATTTTTATAGCTTCAAAACCGAATATCAACGTATATATTAAATGTTCAGTCCTCTTCCAACTGCGTTAGTTCATTTATTTTCTTGATTGCTTTCTTTGCGGCTTGTCTTTGAGGTCTCTTTTCTTTCTCCGATTCCTTTTCTTCAACTTCTTTGTGTCGTTCGTTTGGTGTGCAGTGAATCTCAAGCGGACAGATCAACTGCAGTGGTCGTTCAATAGTATGCCCTTTGTGCAACAGCACAACTCCTCTGACTACACCGTCTTTTCCACGAACTTGTCGAAGCACTTTCCCTTTTTTCCATTCTCCCCTGTTCTTCTCTTCTCCCACTACCAGGACAACGTCGCCAATCTGTGGTGCTTCGACAACCTTGTTATTGACTCGTTGGCTCTCCAGTAAACTATGCACATATTCCCGCTTCCATCGTTTCCATGCATCATCTTTTGCTTTTCTAAGTCTTCTTTGCATTCTGGTTAGCTCGTCTTCTTCATCTTCAACATCGTCGAACATGTAAGAGTTTTCTTCCCGAATGAGTATGTTTGGCGTCAGGACTTGTTCCTCCCGACCATCACATTCTACGTAAGTTAACGGACGGTTGTTCATGTTGCTTTCGATGTTCAATACGACCGATTCCAAACCTTCAAAGAATAGGTGTGATTTTCCCAAGGTTTTGTATAAGGTTTTCTTGATTTCACGAATCAGCCTCTCGTAGATGCCTCCCCACCATGGGGACTTTGCCAGATTAAATCTCCAATAGATATCTTGGGTTGCGAGGAAATCCTGAAGCTTCTCACTTTTTCGAATTAGCTTAGTCCACTTTGCAGTCGCTTTGAAAGTAGCAGCATTATCGGAAATCATCAAGCGAGGTCTTCCTCTACGTGCAATAAATGCGTTAAGTTTTCGCTGAAATTCACCAGCTTCTTGAGTTTTAGTTAGTTCCAAATGAACGGCTCTGCATGCAGCGCAAGTAAAGATTAGAACGTAACACTTTCCTTCTTCCTTTTTGTTGACCTTGTACCTTAACGGTCCGGCAAAATCCACGCCAGTGATCTCAAATGGCTTGCTGGTCTCAGTTCTAAATTTAGGCATGTTACTTGTCGCTGTCGCTCCGTATGGTTTCGTGGAGTACAGTTTGCAAACGTTGCAATTTTTTATCACCTTCTTTACCTTCGATCTTAGTTGAGGGATCCACCAGTTTTCTCGCAAGGCGGCCATTGTATTTGCAACGCCTAGGTGCATAATTTGATTGTGTGTATGTGTGATAAGCTTCTCTGCAAACAATCCTCTTTCGATAAATGTTGGAGTATATCCCCAAACTCTTCCCCTGCATTTGAGAATGTTTGTGTTCTTATCTTCGAAGATTTTCCAGCCAGGTGCTTGTAGAGTTGGGTTAATATTTTTCTGAATCCTTATCACCCATGTATTCTTTGCTTTCACGATTTTTTCGTTTCCGATGGGCCCAGATTTTCTTTTCTCTTTACGCCGTTTCGCCAAACAATTGTGCAGGAAGCTCAGTGCCCACGCTGTAACTCTTAATGTGCGCCAATAGGAACTTCTTTCCAGCAGCGCATCCCATTCATCAGGCTCTCGTTCTTTGGTAAAAAAGACCTCCACCATGCTGGGTTTGCTCTCTTCGCTTACGTGTGTAGTAACCTTAAGCTGGGGTTGTTTGGGCCACTGTTCTACATGTAACAACCACTCAGGACCAGTGAACTATCCGTCTTTTACCATTTTCTCAATTGTAGCTTCCCTGCTGCCTAGATCCGCCAAGTTCTCACTTGATGGACAATACTTCCACACCAAACCAATCTCGTTGGCAATTTCTGCTATCTTCTTAACTCTATTAGCGACGAAAGTCTTCCAATGCTTTCCAGAGTTACTTAACCAGTAAAGCGCGACCATACTGTCCATCCAGATGATGATAGACTTAACAGGCAATCGCAGTAGCGCATGGTATAAATTCCTTGCCATGTTTGCCGCCATTTGACCACTCACAAGTTCCAACCTCGGTATTGTGGTGTTCCTTTTGGAAATTCAAGATTTGGACGTTAACAGATCTTTCACAGTTCCTGATTTGTGCTCTACCACTGCGACTGTTGCTGCACAGCAAGCAAGGTCACTAGCATCTGCAAACAAATGGAGTTGAATGCCTTCAATCACGTCCGATTTCTTAGTTATAGCTCTAGGAACTTTAACATTCTTCATTTGATTGTTCCACTTGATCCACTCTCTTTTCAAGGATTCTGACACTTCAGCGCTCCAACCTTTTTTTTCTTCACAGGCATCTCGAAATATGTGCTTACCCTCAGCCATGGTAGGCGATACCATTCCCAAAGGATCGTAGACTCTTCCTAACCGACTCAAAATGCTCCTCTTTGTTATTGGTTGGTTCTCAGGCATGGTTGCTGCTTCGAATTCTAATGTATCTTCTTGTTTATCCCAGTCGTGTCCGAGTATTTTACTTGGGTTTGGTATGTTTTCGTCTTCGAGGCACGCGATGTTTGATTCCCACTTGTGGATTGGGAATTTGGCATCCTCAAGAATGATGGAGCTTTCTTCTTTAAATTTCCTCAAGTCGTCAGTATCACTTCCAGTTTTCATGATGTTATCAACATATGTATTCTCTTTAAGAGCTGTCACAGTTTCCTCAAATCTTGTCGGCTGTTGCTCAAGGTGGTATCCCAACGTTGCTCCAAGCAGAAAGGGACTGGCTTCGACGCCGAATGGTAATCTTGCAAACCGGAAATGTTCCTCTTTTCCATCGATTTCGAACAGGAATCGAAAAGCATCTCTGTCCGTTTCCTTAACACCAATTTGCAAAAAGGCTTTCTGGATATCTGCCAGAAGTAGATTTGGTGTCATACGCGCTCTGATCAAGATGTCCCAAAGTAGTGGTTGCAAGGACGGTCCAGTGAACATACATTCGTTAATACTGTTAGCCAATGGGGCTGGTTTACCGCTAGCATCAAAAACCATTCTGATCTTTGTTGTTGTTGTACATGTTGTTGCGTTTTCCCTGATCAC